TAAGAATATTATTAATAGTTTAATAAATATTTAATAGTATTTTTAATATAATTTTATTATTTATATTTAAAAATTAATTAATTATTTTATTAATTATTTATAAGTATTATTTTTATATTATTTAAACTTTATTTAGATTATTTAGATTATTTTATAATTAATAGTTATAATTATAATAACCTACTAAGATGTGGGTAGTACTAAGATCTAGGTGGCCGACGTTATAGCCATGTAAGTATCTGTCGCGTGGGACGTTGACTAGCTAGATGGTGGCCAATAGGTCTGACTTTTGCTCGGGATATGGCTTGTTTGTCAACAGATGTCTACAATTATCAATATTCCACTCTCCATGGAGAAGGGAGGCGCAGAGAGACAGTCTTGATGTAATCAGGGAGTGCGTCTAAATAGCTCTTGTTGGTCGTGCAAAGCCTCTTTCCCGGGTCTCAACCTCGCAACTACAATCTTGTCCTCCCTTACTTGCAACTACTAAAGAGTTTACACTTGAACAGCCCAGGCTATATACACCTTGACATGATTGATTTCACCACATAGTGACCACGTAGCAAGTCTCTGTATAAAGCGTCATCTCTGCTCTGGAGTTGCCGAGCACACTCCACTAGAATCACATTCTCCCTCTCTATTATGTTTTCCAGTGCAAGGCGGCTTCTTTGGCTCAACAGATCAGGGATCTTGCAGACGGCACGCTTGAAATCCACAGAAGCCAGTGCCGCACCCAGGAGAAAGCCTAGGTTCTCCGTTGGCCGCGCTCTCCACTGCAGCATGTCATTTACCAGCTCAAAGCTCTCCTCACCTTGGCCATGACTAGCAGCCAGAAGAAAGACATCTCGCAATGTTTGAGGTTTGGCACTGACAGCGGTCTTGGAAAGTTGTTGTGTGAGCTCCAGCCCTATATCGACCAGGCTGGTGCAGTCGTCTCGTCGCGCCTCGTCCATGCCCGCGACGATATCGTCTTCGATGCCAAAGCCCGCTTGTGCGCGCAGAAGCCGCAGAATACTCAGATAGATTGTGTCTGCGGTTCGTGACGGTATAGTTATTGCGTTCTCCAAAAGGCTGATGTGCGTGAACCAAAGGGCGATGATGTCTGGCAGCTGAGCTGGGGACGCCATTTTCAAAGCCGGCCGTTCCGCCAATACTTCTGCGCACCTATAATCTACCTCTTGAAACATCTTTGCAGTCATAGAATGCGTGTTTGGATCATTGCCGACAGGTAAAAATGGGTGGTGGTAAGCCGGATCTCGCAGCTGTGCGACGGCTTCTTGAGAAGTTACTGGGTGCCGCTGCGCAAACTTCCAATATAGCCAAGGGCCTCTTTCTGGCTTTAAAGCATCGATCCACCGGCAAATCGTTGTGACTTCATTTTTTGTGAACGCGCCAAACATACGTCCCCCCCATGACAGCTCCCGCACCAGTAAACTCTTGCAGCTGGCTCCAGCATACACCCACGGTTTGGCCTGGCTGAGCGTGGTCAATAGATGCAAGTCATTTGAACCTTTCCGTAAGGTCGCCTCAAGCCACTCATTTAAGGTATAGGGCCCTATGCGTACTCTGCTTTGAGAATGCATCCGATGCGAGACCAACGCTTTGGATCTGAACAAGTCAATGATTTCGGCGCCGAGTGCGCCGAACAACCCGTCCGGGTTAGGAGAATCCCGCCCAACGACTGACAGGTGAGAATAATCTCCTAGAGTCTGCGACAGGACGTATCCAACCTGCACACGCTTCCAGGCCTGCTGGACGGCGGCTTCACTCTCCGTTTCTCGCACCACGTCGATATATCGCCTAACAGTGTGGGCGGCCATGGCAGTGTGTCCGGAATCCGCATTATCTATGGTCATGTGTAGGAGGAAATAGTAAGGATCGATGCCCAGGCCTTTAAGTTCATGTGCCACCTGCATGGTTTCGAGGCTGACCATTTCAAAGTGCAGATTGAAGCCGAGAATTTCAGGGAGAAACTCGTTTGGGAAGAGTGAGATGGCGAGTTGGCCCACTGCAGCTCTCCAGGCACCACGGTTCTCGTTTCGCTCCCATTCGCGGGCATTTATGAAATCAGCACTGTGGCCATTGGGCAAAGGACACCCAATACTCTCCAGAAGCTTGCAGTATAGAGTGACATGATGCTTGTCAGAGTCACCATCACCAAGCTCTTCCGATAAGATCTGCCACGCTAGTCTTGTAACACTGCGGAAAGCAAACGGGGTGGTGATTTTGTGTATGTGGCCGAGCCATGCGCCGTCCACAAACTTGACAGGAGCCTGCTGGACCAGCCAAACCTTCGCCTCGTCAGCGGTCGCGAATAGCTCGGGACCATGGCCCTGTTTTCTTCGTTCCAGATAACTGGTCCAGTCTGATAACATTCTTTCATGTGTGTCTTTGAGGAATGTATCCATTCCTTCAGCGCTGTATGTTGCAATATTAAGGATATTGCTGCTATTGCAATCTGGCTGCCGAAGTGCAACTGAGAGCCCATGAGAAAACATGGACAAGACTTCTTCGCGGGCCGTTTCAAGTGCTTCTGGGTAATTTTCAAGATTATGAAGCTGAAAGAATAATTTTCGATAATGCTCAGTTGATCCGGGGCTCGCGATGGGAGGCTGGTGCTTTTTGCCTTTGTTGTCCTCAGTTGAAGCATGGTGGACGGGTGCAAAGGCAGTTTTTGCCTTATCCAGCCTCAAATAGTATAGCAAAGCGGGAAATAGAGCAAATATAAGAGGGAAGAAGTGGTTCCAGAGGCCATTGAATGTTACGGGCAGATCCATATTGTTGGCCCGAAATGTGTGGCTGACGGAGACTGAGACGTTGTAAGGAAACGAAAGTAATTGCATGATGCGGGGGGAGTTTGAGTCTATACCGCCGTGAAGCAGTAGATACCACTGTACTTCCAGATGAAAGAACAAGCTGAAGTGAAATAACCCATGATAGAGTGATTGCGGGAATGCACAACCCTCTACAGTAGTCTATGAGCGTGTAATTATGCAGCCCACCTCCTTACTACTAGATGAGTTGGACTTTAGAGCTACCACGCCAAGTCAACATTGGCATGTGAATCAGACTTTTAGTCTTATATCTAAGGCAACAGGGCTCGGCCTACACAGTCACACAGCCGTTAATGCATATGGCCGCTTTCAGAATAGACGATATAGAACTGATGTGAATGCTGTGTTATCATATCAACAACAATGGGTCATGAGCCCGACATTACATACGTAATAGTTAGACACCTTTCTCCAACAGCATGCATGACTTCTCACCAAGTAATGTTGCAACTAATTATCTGCATGCATCTGCATAAGCTCCCTCAAGTATGTATCTACAAAATCCGGGCAGAGTGTAAATCCACATATCTGCCGGCAGTTTAAGTATTTGGGAACGATAATAAATGGCAATGGTAAGCCGATAAGAGAAACCATGTGTAGTGTTCGTGCATTGCTTGGACGGCTCGGCTATTACATAAAATAATTTGCTTCTCTGTATTGCTACTTGTCTTCTTCTCCTACTCTTCGTCACCCTTGATGCGTAATTTTCCTCTGTACCCTTGCCCACCTTCTCAGTCCTTTATGCTGAACTGAATTGCATTCTTCGTTGTCATTATTCATTTTCTAGCCGTCATGGCTTCCAACGACAAAAACGCATCTTTGGCAGTAATCGATTACGAAGCCTTGGCCAACAAAGATGGCGGAGAGATTCAGAAGCTTGTTCAAGCTTGCGAATCTGTCGGCATGTTTCACCTGAGCCTTGGAAACTCTCGGATGAAGGCCATTTACGAGGACATACCAAACCTGCTCGAGGCAGGCAGTGCCTTCTTCAGCCTGCCTTCTGATTCCGAGGAGAAGAGGCAAAGCCTCCGCGAGGGTATGGAACGAGGGTATGGCAGCAGCGAGCAGATTTTTTTCCGGCATTTTTTATTAGGCGTCAACTCTTCTGCTAACCTATTTTCAGTTATCATGCGGCCAAAACATTCGAATACTACGAGGCACGTTGCACCCGGCTTGTCATATGTCCTTTGCCAGTACTAACCGTGTTATCCCGACAGATTGCCCGCGACGAGTATCTGCAAGGGAAGTGGGCTCTCCCAGCCAGCCTCAGCCCTTACGAGGAGCGCATCACAAGGATCCTGCAAGGCCTGAACCGAGTCATCCACACCGTCCTGGCCGAGCTCTGCGACTCCGTCCAGGTGGATCTAGCTGAGCTGAGCGACGATCCAATGGTTCCCAGCGACACGGCGCTGAAGCTAGTGTACAAGCCCCCCGTGCAGGAGCCGGGTGCTGTTGTCCAGCCGTGGCACACAGACTTTGGCCTCATGACGACGATGTGGTATGAGGAGGTGAGCGCGCAGATACCTGTGTATGACGCAGAGGGAAAGCGGACCGAGGACTGGCAGGCGGTCCCGGTCGTTGACGGGGCACTCCTCGTCAACATTGCGGATCAGCTCGAGGCCAAGTGCCACGGTCGACTGCGCTCGACTGTTCATCGTGCCGTGACGCCACCAGGGCCGAAGAAAGAGAGGCGTGGATTGGTTTACCTCCTGCGACCATACAAGGGTTAGGATCAGTGTCAAGATCAGTATTAACTAACTTAGTGGATGCTACCCGCAAGCTAGCCCGCTAGTTTCCGTTGTGGATTGTTATGGCGAGCTGAGCCTTACTAGTTGCAGATGCAGATGTACTTCCGAGTTAAGGGTGGCACAGTGCGCCATTAATACCTACTTTTGCAAAGTTACTCTTGAGCACCTTCCCACTGAAAAGCATGATTTACAAATCTATAGGTACACTCATTAGCCACTAGCTGTTATTAGCTAGTATAGTAAAATGTAATATATGTATATAATTCTAAATACTCAATTTTCTTTTTATAATACTTTAAATATATACATTATTAATAATAGAAGAGTAGTGTATATTTAACTAGTAATAGCCTTTATTAGAAAAACTGGTTTATATTTCTTATAAGATTTAACTTAAGATAGGTAGTAATATACATAGTAGTATAAAGACTACTACTAGTACTAATAGAGGTACTAAAATATATCTTCTTTTTAAACTTAGAAAATAATTATAATATAAATATATATATAAATAAATAAATAAATAGTTAATAAATACTTTTATTATTTTTATTCTTAAGAAATAAGTATATTTATCCACAAAGTGGTTACCACACCAACGCGGCAATTAAGCTATAGATAATAAATTTAACGGACACAGAGGTCATTGCCTTTCCAAATTGTATAATAATGAACAAATAAAGTAAAAGGCGTACGTCTGCATGTTTTGTACAGTGCCTCTAGCACAACCCGGGGCTTCGTTCAGGAGAGCATAAACTGAATACTCGTGGCCAGCATAGGAACATGAAAGTAGGGATGGATGACGAGTCAAGCTTATAACACTCAATAAAGATTCAAAATACCCAGAGATAACACTGAGTATGGCTCTCTGAATGCCAGCTCGATATTTCCAAGCTTGATTTCGCCCTAGACGCTTTGAAAAGAGAGCAGCTCATGGTCGCAGCCGGTTCACGTCTCTCGGAAAGAGAATGACCTCGCGCACATCATCTAACCCGAGGAAACTCTGGAGCAGTCTGTTTAAGCCCAGTCCACAACCACCATGAGGCGGCATACCAGCTCTGAATGCGGCAAGGTACGGCTGCCACTGCTTATCTTCGGGATCCAATGGTGGACCACACACATTAACACGCATCGCGTCGCATAATTCAGTATACAAATGAATGCGCTGGCTGCCGGAGCAAATCTCTCGCCCGCCGACTATCATATCCCATGTATTGGAGAGCCCCGGCGAGGCTGGGTTGGCCTGCGAGTTGAACTGGCGCATAGAGGCAGGGTACTGCTCAATGGTAAACAGATCGGTAGCAGCGCGCTCTCGGAAGTATCTCCCAAGGGCAGCTTCTTCTTGGTCTCTGTCGGAGCAATTGAGTCAGCACGCCAGCTTAGCTCGTGAACAGCTTCTACTAAGATCCGATCCAGAAGGCCATGAAAAATATCTACTTACGTGAAATTCTTGCTGTCCTCCGAAGCGATGCTGAGTTCCTCACGCAAGATGCGCTTTGCCTCCAAAAAAGTGGTGCGTATGACCTTGCTGTGCTCGTCTAGGCCCACAAGGAATGGTCGCGCATGGGGATATATCTTTTGAACTGCCTCGATAAGATGTCTGTACTGCTCTCGTCGCTGCATTTCGCTCAAAACGAACACTACCATGGACTCAATCAAGTCGACCACTTCATGGTAGTCGTCGTGAAAAGCCATGGCAATGTCAAGGACAGTGAACTACGGAATGAGGTTAGTAACAAATGGCGGTAAAGAGAGGAGAAGGAGGCCAGAAGGTGCCAGTCAAGACATCACCTACCTCAGTAACATGCCTGGTAGAGCTGCTGGACCTGACCTCAGCTCGGAACACCGGACCAATCTCAAACACACGCTGCATGTCCATGGACAGTGCCATTTGTTTGTGGTGTTGCGTGCTCTGGGTTAGCCACGCATCCTTGCCAAAATATGGGAGGTGAAAGTACTCATTATCGCCGGGGATAGTGGCACTGATGATACGTGGGGTATGAATCCAATGGAAATTGTTGGAGCAGAGAAACTCGACAACCAGTTGGCACATGCCCGAATGGAGCTTGAAGACGGCCCCGGACGCGGCCGATCTCACATCCAGAATGCGGTTGCTGAGTCGTGCTTCGAGACCTGCGCTGGAAAGCGATATTTTCTCTCCGGGGCACGAGGGCGACGGTAAGTCTAGCGATGCCAAAGCTATGACGTCAAGGGTTGATACGTGGACTGGTGCAGAGGTAGCATGGGCATTGTCTTGACCGTTCTCACGAACCTGCGCCGTAAAGTAGCCTGTGACCCGGACGAGGGATTTTACCGTCACGGCCTGAGTCTTATCCCATATTTCCTTGGCGACGGTATCAATACTGATTATAGCACGCACCGCACTCTCCTGAGCTCGAAGCTCCAGGTGTATCTGCCCGGCGTGCTCTGATAGCAAAACCGACTCGACCCTACCGTCAATGGTGACTTCCTGTCCTTTAACATCGTGAGACGGCGGCACAGCCTGATGAACATACATGTTAGAAGGCTGCCAACATAGTGAAGTAAGGAGAAGAGAGGAAAATGAGATAGAGTTGAAGAGATGACCTGACTTACAGTCTTGTCGACGGCGCTGGTTTTACTTTCTTCGTAGGTGAGCATAATGCAGAGAAGTACCGGAAACAGTCCTGAGAACGCCCTTGAGAAGAGCTTTGAGCGATGTAAGCAATCTGTGCAGTGTGTCCGATTTTTTGACCTTGAGAAATCTTACCACACGCGTGAGTACGGAGAGGAGATGCGCCACTGTTCTGATTGAACTTGCCTGGCTTCGGTGACGCTTTAGACGTTCCCACGAATTTCTTGGCAAAATGAACGAGCCAGCGATTGCAAATATCCCCAATGTTTTTATTTCCGATGCTTTTATTTCCAATGGTTTTATTCTTATTATTCACTTGGGCTACAGCTCTCGTGCAAGTTGCACATGCCTGCCCTCTGTCTCCCCGTCGTTGCCGGCATGCGAAATATCCACCACTCTACTACCATCTCCTAACTTCTTTAATACACGAGAAGGATTCGTACTTGATGCATGCTACGTGTGACATGGCACAAGATGATCTGCCGTGGGGAGCATGCATTCCTCCTGTTGTGCATGTCGGCGCCCCGAGTATCCCGTATTGAATAGCGCAAACTAAGCTGCATGGACGCTTATACATTCTCGTCTGCATATATGCAGGAATGCATGGGCTTGAACGCATCTTACAGGCAGAACTACGGGTTGGTTGCATTGAGCTGGGTGGTAACTATATTAACCTGCAAAGCAACAGCGCCTGCCCTGCTACATATAGTTCTACTCCACAGCTGCTGGACTATGCAATCCAACCTTGGCTTCCATAGATATAGGTACAGCCCACAAGCCTTTTCTGCAGCTGCCGAATCTCCAATGGCGAAGGCCGAGACTCACGGGCTAGTGTGGTATTAACAATGCACGCTAATGATATGTTTGGATTGCGACATTGACGTATTCTAACTACTTGTCGAAGTAAACGGCTTTTCCCAGTCGTGGACGTACGTGGCGACGGGCGAGGCGAAGGCGAAGGCGAATACAGTTCTCAAAATTTTGGCCTCGGTAGTTGGCACATCCCACATAGTGCATGCCATGAGAGTCTCACCCGAAAAGTTGACTGCATCTTACAGCATTACGCAGATGGTGATTGGGTGTGCTTATAACTTGTTGTGCTGCAGATGCGAAGAGGCCGGAGCCGTCGTTTGGTTAGCTTGTGCGGGAGCAGTTTCCCATACATGCATGCATACATGCAAGCCAGCTTGTCTGCATGGCGAAAGTTAACGGGGCGGGCCTCAAAAAAGTTGGGATTCATAACGTGGCGAACATATGTCAATGTACGTAGTGCATACTCTAAATGTAATTGCTTTTGTTTGCCTAGGCTAAAAGTGTTTATCAACCCAAGGCATTCGTCCAGAGTTGATGAGAAGCTACTGTTGGATATCTGATCGCAAAATATTCCTACCAGCAAAATTAATCCAGAACATAGAGCAGAAACTACAGCCACAGCTCATTTTTTTTTATCATGACTACTGCAGAAACTTTAGTCAATGTCCCATCATGCATGATGAGGCGGGACGATGGTAGTCTTGACAATGAAGTAGCCTTCATCCCCGTGGTCATTTCTTCACTACCTGAAGCTTCGGATAAATTTGGGGTCGAAGTGAGTGGAATACTGCGTTTCGCTTGGAGCTTGGTGCTGGGAATTTATTCTGGCGCAGACGAAGTTTCTTTTCGTTGTATCCGTCTCCAAACTTCCAGTAATGAGTCGTCCTTGGAAGCCTGGCTATATCGAATGGAGATTGATAGGGCCATCCCCATCCTGGATCTACTGGAAAGGGGCAAAACTTCTTTCCAAAAACATGACATGACAGAAGAAGTGTCACAAAACTTAGCATTAGAGGGCTCTGACACCATTCTAATGCACGGAAGCGAGCTTGGCAAGGCTTACAAATTGTTGAGGCAATCCGACATGGCCAATGTAGGTAACTTCATATTGGAGTCCACGAGCAGTCAACCGTTCAAGTTACTAATTAAGGAGTAGATTAAAATCCTATTGGAGATTGCTGGAACGACTGTGACCCTAGGTTACAGGACGTCAAAGCTGGGTAGCCTCCAGGCCAGGGGCATGGCAGCCGCCATAGGACGAGTCATCACTGCTCTGATGAAGCAAGCCTCGATGGCCTTGAAAGATTACGATTGGTGTGACGAAGAAGATCTGCAGACTCTTGCAAAATGGAACAATATTGAAACGACTTGGGAGGAAGAGTGTGTCCATGATTCAGTCTCCAAACGAGCAACACAACATCCAGACAAACCTGCAGTTGACGCCTGGGACGGCCGTCTTACCTACCGCGAATTGGACAACCTTTCGTCAGTTCTCGCAATTCGTTTAAAGAGACTAGGTGTTGCTGCAGAGACTTTTGTAGCTTTATGCTTCGAAAAGTCAAAGTGGCTGGTTGTCTCCATTCTCGCTGTCATCAAGGCTGGCGGTGCATATGTTGTTATCGAGCCATACTACCCCTATTCTCGCATGAGAGACGTCTGCACACAGCTTGAAGTCAAACTTCTGTTAGCTAGCCGAGGTTTGCTTCAGACAGCAAGTAAGCTGTCTGATCAAGTCGTGGTTGTCGAACAGGACTCCGAGTACTTCCTGGAGCGCCACGACGACGAGGGGCAATGGGAGAAAATATCACCCGGTATACCTCGCAGTGCACTATACGTTGTATTCTCTTCCGGATCCACCGGCAAGCCAAAGGGGATCATAGTCGAGCATGCGGCGTTTGTCAGCTGGGGTACACTGCTGAGACAATCACTCTGCTTGGATGCCCAGTCTCGTGTGCTCCAGTTTTCGAGCTTCGCCTTCCTTATAGCTCACCGGGACATTCTTCTCACACTCATGTTCGGAGGGTGTGTCTGTATGCCGTCTGAGCTGCAGCGGCTCAACCACCTCGAGACATTCATTGCCGAGTACCAAGTCAATTGGGCCAACCTTACCCCGTCTGTGGCAGCCCTCCTCGATCCAGGCATGACCCCCGAGCTCAAGACGCTGCTCCTGACTAGTGAGCCCATGTCGCTCAAAGGTCTTGCAACATGGGAGGGTAAAGTGAATCTCTTGTTCGCGTATGGTCAGGCTGAGAGTGTCAGCCTCTGCTGCGTGAGGAGGAGCCCGACGGTCGCGTCTGACCGAAAGAACGTTGGCCACAGAGTCGGGAGATCCATCTGGCTCGTCGACACCGGCGACCATAACAAGCTGGTGCCTGTGGGAGCTGTTGGTGAGTTAGTTATTCAAGGTCCCGTGCTGGCTCGCGGATACCTTGATGCTGAGAGAACCGCGCTTGCATTTCTTCACGATGTAGCCTGGCTGCGAAAACTACAGCCTGGATACGATGGGGAGCTCTACAAAACAGGAGACTTGGCACAATTTGCTGACGATGGATCCGTCCGATACCTTGGCCGAAAAGACAACTCAGTCAAGCTATACGGACAGCGGCTTGACCTGGACGACGTGCTCCAGCAGGTTCAGCGCTGTCTGATAGACATTTCAGACACGGAAGTCTGCGATGTGATTATGGACGTGTGCCGCACGTCAATATCTGAGGATGTCAAGTTGACAGCGTTTCTCGGAATGAACCCTACGTCACTTGATACGGGAGGTACTGTTCTCCTCGGCCCCTTGGACCGAGCCACTGTCTACCTGCAGATATTTCGGACTCGTTTGGCCAGCGTCGTTCCCCGGTACATGATTCCAACCGTCGTCGTCATAGTGTCCCATATACCACTCAATCTCTCCGGCAAAACTGATCGCAGAAAGCTGCGCGAAATTCTCTTCCAGATGACGGCTTCGGAGGAAGCTGCATGTCTGGGATCCGTTGCCAGCCACGAGGCCCCGTGCACACCCCAAGAACTGCAGCTCCGTTCGCTCTGGTCGCAGGTGCTAAACACTGCTGAATCGAGCATCGGAAGATTCGAGGACTTTTTCCGACGGGGAGGCGACTCGCTGGCGGCGATGAGGCTGGCCTCAGCCGCGCATGGCCTCGGTCTTAGTCTGACCTTTGGGGACATTTTTGCGAATCCAGTACTGTCAAGTCAGGCAAAGCTGATTGGCTCCACGGAGGGAAACACGCAACAGAGTTACACATGCTCGGCGTTTGAATTGATTACAGAGAGCCAAAAGCAAGCTGTTCTCGCAACAGCAGCTAAGGAGTACGCTTTACCGGCGACTCAGATTGAGGACATCTATCCAACTACACCAATGCAACAGGGCCTTGTCGCTCTCAACTCCCTACGGCCAGGCTCGTATGTGTCACGACGTGTCTACAAGCTTAGAGAGGGCGTTAGCTTTCGAAAGCTCGAAGCAGCTTGGAAAGCCACCTTGGACGCGAACCCCGCCTTGAGAACCCGTGTCATACGATCTGTTGGTGACGGCCCAACGTATCAAGTCGTGGTTCGCGACGAGGCGGTTGTTGACATGGCCTATGACTTGACCAAATATCTGGCGGACGACGAGGCAAAGCCGGTAAATCTGGGTACGCCGCTCGTACGAATGGCGATCATATCCAACGCCAGCGGAGAGCCAAACTTTTGCGTCGTTACCATGCATCACTGCATATACGATGCCTGGTCAGCGGCTATCCTGAAGACCCAAGTGAGCGACACGTATCATGGCCACGTTCCAGTCCTTCAAACATTTAGGGAGTTTGTCAAATATGTACTCCAATCTAATAAAAATTCATCCGATCATTGGAGAAGTGAGTTTGCTGGGATACGCGCCGAACAGTTTCCAGCTCTGCCAACGCCCACACATTCCCCAAATACCACGGAATCCGAAAGCCAGCATATATGCCTCCCTCCAAGTGTTGCAACGGCAGCAAATATAACACTCACCACGCGCATACAGCTAGCGTGGGCAATGACTCTAATGGCTTACACCAGCGTGAATGATGTAGTGTTTGGCTTGACGGTTTCTGGCAGGGCAGCGCCCGTGCCGGGGATTGACAAGATTGCTGGTCCCACGATTGCAACATTTCCCTTGAGGGTTCAGTTGAGGTCCTCTTCATCAATTCACGAGGAGCTGGAGACGCTGCAGAAACGTATCATA